AGGGTGGGAAGCAGGATTTGGTGTCACTGAGGGGACCAGAGCTCTTCTCTGCATACTTCTCAGTCAGCCTTGGCCTATTAACTCCGTACATCATGGGAATCTGTTTTTGTTCCATCACACGTGCTCATAGAAACACACAGTAGGTTCAGGAAATGCTAACTAAACAGAATTAAATTGTATCTCACCGCTATGCGCGCAGCAAGAACCAAAGGCCAAAATTCAGCAGCAGAGGATTGGGATACCATGTCACGGAGAACTCCCTGACAGCACTGTGGTGAATTAGGGGCAGGGGGGCTGTGCAGGCAGGACAACCTGCTCACAATGGCCACCTTCCCTCCCATCCTCATGGGCCGAGCAAAGGGCCATTTCATCTGGAGGCTCGGGGAGAGATACGATGACAAATGAAGGGTTCCAACATCCTATGGAGCCTACAGGAAGAGGGCCCCTGAAAGATGGAGAGACGTGAGAAAGAGGAATATTTGGGACATGTGTAGGATCAGCTGGTTTCCAGAGAAAAAAAAGTTCTTCTAGAACTGTATCAGTGAATACAGCCCAGGGTTGGGCACCTTGTTAGGTGGGTACTAGATAAATTAAATAGAAAACCCCAGAAAGGGACTCAATCAAAATGTGTTGAATTTCTGATATGACCATGCATTGTAATTTTCTATTTTCTTTTTCTACTATTTCCCCGCCTCCATTCACCAATAGCCTTCTTTCCTCCTGTTCTAACTTTAGTCTCTCTTTCTCTCTATCCATTTTCCCATTCATCTTCTTTCTCTCCCATCTCTTCAACTTTGCCCACTTGACCTGTCCCTATCAAATGAGTGCCACCCATCTTCCCTCATTAAAAAAGATTCTGTGGCTCAAGGAATCGATAAGTAATCTGTAGAGCGGGAAGCAGAGAGAGGGCTAGGGAGTGGATGCTTTTCCAACTTTTGCCAAACAAGCGTTATCTACAAAAACAGGTGCACCTTCCTTCCCTTCAGCCATCTATCCATTAAAATGGTTTATTTCCTGAACACTGGACAGATAATTAGGAGGTAACATTCAGACCAGAAATTTAAGCCACCCTCTTCAATCAGGGTAAAATTGTCTGATTAAGAAGTTAATTAAGAATCAAGTGTAGTGACTCTTATTGGAAAGAATGAGTTTGGGGCTTCAAAAAATCCTGATTCCCCCCCACCCCCTCAAAGGCCCCTATGTCCTCCATCACCACCAAGGCTTCATTAAGCTCCCAATACCGTATTAGCTGCCCAATCCTCAACCATATCTGACCCCTGTCCTTGAGGGGCTTACAATCTAGGGGAAAGGGCATAACAGTGTTCAAACAAGGCTTGTGAAATAAATGAACAAGTGAGCACTGCAGTGCCAAGGGTGCATAGGCATGTATTCAAAAGGTTGAAGGAAGCGATGAGAGTCGGCACATTGGGAGAGGGTGAGAAAGTGGGCAGAGAGGAAGTCTCCTTGTCCAGAGCCAGGCGGGAGATCAAGGGGTCCACAGGTGGTCCAAAGGAGATTTATGAACCCACTAAAATCATAAGGACAGTTCATGTGTCTGGGTTTTTTTCCAGGAATGTGGTCCTTAGCTTTCATCAGATGCTCAAAGGGGCACATGATCCAAAAGATTAGGAACAACTGGGCTACAGGGAGGCTGTCTCTCCTTCAGTGAACCCTCGAAGACCTGTTGAACAAAGTACAATTTTAGGAGCTGTCGGAGTCCTGGAGGAAAGAGTAGCAGTGGGTGGCTGTCTTGTCTCCTAGAATCACAGCGTGTTGGAGGTTGCAGAGGCTTTGAGATGTTCCCATCCAGTCTCTTTGCTTGACGTGGAGTTGGCTGGAGTGACTCATTGCTGTTTGCTCCTATGAATCAGCTCTTTGTCACAGGGGACAGACCAGCCGCCCCTGGATTTACAGTGATGCAAGAGAATCCCACTGTACCTCATCCCCAGTCATCTCACTCACCGTGAGTCCAGCCTCCCAAACCATCTTCACCATATGGACAATCATCCCTTTCCTATGTTTCTCACCCTTTTACTGGCCCTTTCTTCCCAGCCCTTCCACATGCCCTCTGGACCTCATCGTCCACCATTGGCAGCCTCTGCGAGCGTTCCTTTCCTCATCCTTTAATTGAAATAAAGCTGTTTCCTGAGGACATTGTTTCTTGCATGGCTGTCTTAAGTGGTGGCTGCTCTGTCTCCAGGACTCTGTATCCTGGGGGCCTGGAGGTGGGGTGAGTCCTCCTTGCTCCCCATTACCATCTGCAAACTGCCTCTCTTCCTTTATCTTTCAGAAGCCCCAGCTCCTTTGAAGTGAATGTCATCATACATCACCAGCCCTTTGACTTTCTTGATGCTGCTGGCTGCTGACGGGCTACTCACTCCTAAAATACCCTGTGCACCTGGCTCACACACTGCCTCCCACCATACCTGTCTCAGCATCTCTGTAGATCAGTGGTCCTTGGAAGAGGTGTTCCCATCCCTTAGGGGGCATTTTGCAAATGTATGAGGTTTTTGGTTTCTTTTCTAAAGTGGCTGTGCCCCAACATTTATATTGAAATTTATATTATCATGTTATAAAGTGACTTCCCCTTTGGTTTTCTTTACATAATCTGTTAGGGCATTATATTAATTAAAAAAAGAAACCATAGTAGCTTGGATTATTCTGTAAGTTTCATTTCAGAACAGAAAAAGAGATATTAAAATATATTTGTTATAATTTGTTATAAAAGGGGGCATTTGGTCTGATAGAACTGAGGATGGCTGATGCAGATAATCTATCCCACTCCCTGTCTTCCTCATTATTACAGAACTTTCCCTCCAGCCCACCTCAGCCCCATTCAAGTGGTCACTCCCTAGTGCTCATCATCACCAAGAACCCCATCCCTTCAAAATCTGGATTTAAACACCCCACTCGCTGATCATCACCCCCTATCCTTGTAGTTCACTGACTCTAAATTCTCCAGATTCATAGAAACCTCTTGGCATTGACCCTATCACTTTCCACTTCTCCATTTTCATTATTCCTTATCCCTTTGTGTTCTTACTTCCCTCCTTCCCGGTCTAGACTCCATGGGCCAACGTGATAACCGCTCCCTTTGCAAACATCCATAATTCTCATGTCCCACTCTCTCTCCTGCCATACTTACCTGGAAAGACAGTCTATGCTAATTAAAACCACCCAACCAATGACTAGACCCACTTTAAATTGTGACCACAAATCTCAGATAGGTGCTCAACGCTGTCAGATAATTCTACCACCTCTCCCTTGTAAATTCATTCTCTCACTCTGCAAGACAGTTATTTTCCACCTTCTCTTCTCCCCACAAATCTTCAACACGTCTTCCCTTAACCCTTCCCACCTTAGCTGATGACTTCATGGAAGAAAAAGATGCACTTGGATGAGAACTACCTGATTTTCCCACTATTGCATCTTTCCTCCTACCTCCTCTGTGCCCACCAAGCTAATTTCATCCTCATCCTCATTGCACTTGAGCTGACCTCTCAACAGCATGTCTCTTTCATGAAACATGTCCTTCTCTAGACTTCTGGGTCTCCACACTTGCGGGTCTTCCTTCTACACTATTTATTGCTCCTTCAGAAACTCCCTTCCTGGCTCTGCCTCCACCAAACCTCCATATTACCAGAAGCTTCAGGGCTCTGTCGTGGGCCCTCTTCTTTTGTCTGTCTACCTCTTCTCCCAGGAGATCTGGGCCAGTCCTATGGCTTCAGATTCCACCTCTACACTGATGACCTCCATCACCAGGCAAGACCTCTCCCTAAGCTTCAGACTCGGATGTCCAACTGCCTACCTAGCCCTTCTATTGAGATTCCTATCAGGTGTCTTAAATTTACCATAACCAAAATATAACTATTAATGAATGTAGTAGGCTGAATAATGGTCCCCCAAGACACCCAGGTCCTAATCCCTGTTAATGTTACCTTATATGGCAAAGGGCACTTTGCAGATGTGACTAATCTAAGAATCTTGTAACAGGTAGAGTTTCGTGGATTATTCAGGTTGACCCAGTGTAATCAAAGTGTTCTCATAAGAGAAAGACAGAGGGAGACTCAATGACAGGAGAGGAATAGGAGATGTGACATCAGAAGAAAAGGGCAGAGTGATGCAAGGAAGTGGCAAGGAACACAGGCAACTTCTAAAAGCTGAAAAAAGGCAAGGAAATAGATTCTCCCCTCAAAGCCACCAGAGAAAAAACAGCCCTGCTGACACTTTCACTTTAGCCCAGTGACACTGATTTTTAGACTTCTGATCTTCAGAACTGCAGGAGAATACATCTGCGTGGTTTCAAGCCACTGAATATGTGGTGATCTGTTATAGCAACAATTGGAAACTAATACAGTGGCTGCCACCACCACACAGATCCACACCCCTGACCCTCACGCCTACCATACCTCAGTCAATGACACCAATACTCATCTAACTGCTGAGGCCAGAAGCTTCAGAGTTTTCTCTTGACTCACCTCACCTGCCAGCAAGTCTGTCAGTTCTGCCCCCAACATACATCCTGACTCCAGTGGCCTCTCACTTCCTCCGCGGCTACCTCCTCCTTAGTCTAAGCGGCCATCATTGCCGAGTTGCATCACTACATCACTTCCTCGGTCTTCAGCATCTACTCTTGGTCCCTCTATTGTCTCACAGGAACCAGGATGGCCTTTCTGAAGGCTATATCAGACCACATCGTCCTCCTGTTACAGCCCTTCAATGGCTTCCCCTTATACTCAAGATAGAATATAAATCCCTTGCCATGGCCTATAAGGCCTTACCATAGACTGGCCTCTGACACCCCATCTCCCTGCACTGTCCGCTCATTCACTCATTCCCTGCGCCCTGGCCACACTGACCTCCTTTCTGAGCCGGGTGCCTTCCATTCCCACTTCCTGGCCTTTGTGCCTTAGCTCAAAGCTCTTACCACTAACGTGCTCTCTCTCCAGACTTTGCATGGATCCCTCCTTCTCATCATTTAAGTCTCAACTCAAGGGAATTCCCTGGTGGTCCGGTGGTTAGGACTCGGTGCTTTCATGGCTGTGGCCCAGGTTCAATCCCTGGTCGGGGAACTAAGATCCCACAAGCTGCGTGGCCTGGCCGGAGAAAAAAAGAAAAAGAAAGAAAACGAAAAAAATAAGAAATTAAGTCTCAACTCAGATATCACCTCCCTCACAAGCCCCTACTACCGTCTCCATCAAACAGGACTCTCAGTGTCTGCAGGCAGTGGCTATTTCCCCCTGTTTTATCTTCCTCATAGCATGTGTCCATGCCTGAAATAGTCTTATTGGTTTGTTTCCGTGTCTGTTGTGTGTCTCTCCACTAGAATGCCAGCTCTCAGAGGGCAGGACTCTGCCTGTCCTGTTCACTGCGCTATCCCTAGTGCTTAGCACATAGTAGGCACACAATATTTAGTTTCCTGGTTGTGTGACATAGCTCGTTTCTGACTCTACACTGCCCCTGGCCAATAGAACCGTGCCAGAGTTCACTCTGCCAGCAATGTGTGTATATTAGTAGCACTGGGCTTTTTGTTAAATAGCCAAGAGGTAATCAGTGGAATTTCGGACATTCAGCAGGTATGGAATGACCATAGGGTTTCTTTTATGGTACCTTTGAAGGCACAGGATTCAGTCAACATCTGCTAAGTGCCAGGTGCCACAGACACAGGGCAGAGGGAGAAAAAGATATTTGTATTACGCCTTAATGGACAATGAATTTGGATTTTGTCAGGCCAAGGAGTAGGAGGGATAGAGCAGAGACAGAGGCAAAAGCACTGCATGTAGGTGCACGACTATTTCACGCCCTCGGTGTGGTGGCCTTCCACATACTTCCAAAGACTCGTTGAGCCTAGAAATGTAAGGATGGCTGCCATGTGGCCCAGAGCTGAAAGGTAGGTTTGAAAAGAACAAATCAAACCAATATAAATCTGGCTTACCCAATGCCTATACTCACTTATAAACAGAGGGAGACTGGTTTCTCCCGGCAGTGAGCTGCTATCTCTTACTCGCCTTTGTTTTTCTCTTCTCCCTGCTGCCCAGGCCTCATCATCCATGAGGGACCCTCCGTGTACCGCATCTTTAAACGGTGGCAGGCTGTCAACCAGCAGTGGAAAGTGCTGAACTATGACAAGACGAAAGACCTGGAGGATCAAAAGGCAGGAGGCAGGACCAACGCCCGGATGTCCTCGGCCACCCAGGCCAACGCGCCCCCCTCCGGAGAGGAGGCTGCGGGCACCCCTGCCCCTGAGGAAGGCCCTGCCCGGGCGGCCGGCCACCCCTCAGGCCCTCTGTCCGATCACCACTGTGCTTACACCATCCTGCACATCTTGAGTCACTTAAGACCTCATGAACAGCGGACCCCCCAGGGCGGCAGCCGAGAGCTGGTCATGAGGGTCACAACGGTGTGAGAGGAGAGACCTGGGAGGGAGCTGTGACCACACACGCACGCCGGGGGGGGGGGGCCGCCCCTGACAGGACGCCATCTGGGGAGCAGGTGTGGGGAGGCATGGAGGCACCGCAGGGGCCAGAGGGCAGGCGGTGGGGGGCGGGGGTGTGCCTTGAGGGGCCTGGGGGCAGGACTGGAGCTGGAGGGAGGCTGGCGCTGTGAGCGGTTTCCTGATTTCCAGCCGGTCGATACCATTCTCCAACAAGCACGAGGAAAACCAATACAAACTCAGCAACGAAGTGCAATACATACCGAGCCTAACAAAACACAACAACAGAGGCACCCAGATGCGCCCCCCTGTGCAAAACACCTGGGAGAAGTGGCGGCTGGGGAGGGCAAAGCTGCGTGTCTGGTGGCGGTGGTGCCCACATGTGCACGTGTGGGAAGAAGAAGCACTTGTAGCCGGCCTTGTTTTACCCTTGAGTTTGCTTTGGTTTCTCCCTGGGCTGTGTTCCAGGGACAGTTGGGGGGAGGGACAGGGATGGGTGGGAGCTGGCAGGGATGAGATTCCTAGCATTTGCGGCCCCTGGGCTCACCTGGGTGGGCAGGATTCCTGACTCAGGCCTCAGGGGCAGTGGTGCAGGGAGGGAGATACTGACCGGAGCGGCCAGAGGGAGGGGGGTTTCTTCCCCTTCCAAACCTTCCAAACTGGGAACTCCCAATTTCAGATGGGCTCAAAGAGGGCGTAGGTTTGGAGTAGGGTGTCTTTCTGTGCCCTTGTTACTTTATTTTATGGTGATTTGGCTCAAAGATGTTTACAGGAAACACACACACACACACACACACACACACACACACCAACAATAGTACAGATTTCCCATGGGTATCTTGAGCACAGTCCTGCTGCCATGGCTTCACCCTTCAAAGCTGTCAATCCAGGAGTGATTTTCCCAACCACCCAATACGACCCATGGCCACGACATGCTTAGTGCCATGGCCCCTCCTGGTTTGGCACCTGCTGAGACCCAGGGCCCCCCATGGCAGGGCACCTCCTGCCCAGGGTCTCCCAGGAGAGCTGCTGCAGCAAATGGGAGGAAGTGGGCCGGATGTGCCCCAAGGAGTGGAGTGGAGACCAATCTAAGTATTCCTTGCTACTCGGGACCCTCCCCCAAGGATAGTTTGGCTAATCCCTCAGTGCTACCTGCTCCCTGGTCCCTTCCATGCAGCAAGGCGGCCCCAGGGACCCTGGCAGGGAGCGCTGTCCCTTGAGCCCACCTGCTGGTTCTGGGACCCTGCCAGGGAAAGCCACGGGGTGGTCACCTGCAGAGTTTCTTGTTGTCATTGCACAATGGCCGCATCATCCGTGGGTATGAAAGGGACACTGTCAAGTACTTTTTTAAACTAGTTTTTAGGGTTTTTTAAAACTCTCTGTTGTTTATATTATTCTCTTAAAAGCTTGAAAATTTCTTTCCCTACCACTAGTGTCCTTTCCCATATGTGAGTTTTTCCTGTCTCTGTCCTGTTTTCCCTCTACGGTATAATTTGCTTTCCCTCTCCTGTGTCTGCTCCACCCCTAGAGTCTTCTCCCTCACAAGAACTGGTTTCTCCTTTGAGGGTACAGATAGGGCCTCTGCTGTGTGTGTGTGTGTGTGTGTGTGTGTGTGTGTGTGTGTGTAAACCTACAGTGAAGCCCTGGGACTCCTGGCCTCTTCTTGTCTTCCTAGCAGGTGAATTCCTTCAAGTCGAAAAGAGGACCAGCTTCCCAACTTTTCCCAGGTTTCGGCCCAGGACTCCTGGAAGCAGAGGCCACTAGTGCTGGGAGGAAATATGGAGAGTTTTCTCCCCATCTGGTCATTTCAGAGAAGCTAAGAGAACCACAGGTGAGGGGCATGTTAGGACCTCATTCCCCTGACAGTTTTCCTTTGAACATCAGAAAACAGTCCCCAGAGCAGGGCCCCGAGAGGGGGCTCAGACATATCACTAGGCAGCAGGCAAGGCTTTCCCTCCCGCCAGCCTGACCTGGCCCTCCTTCCTGGGGCCGGCAGTTGGTCAGGCAACGTCATCAGTGGGATGTGCACAGGCTTAGGAAGGTTCCTCCCCTGATGAAGCTCACATACAAGTGAAAACCAACAAAACCATACAAGTAATTCACGTAGAGTGAAGGTATCTCTTTTTTCTTGTAGTCTAGGAATGGGCCATTCAGTTTAATTAAATATTTTTGTGGGAATTCCCTGGCGGTCCAGTGGTTAGGAGTCGGCACTTTCACTGCCCAGGGCCCGGGTTCAACCCGTGGTCGGGGAACAAAGATCCCACGAGCCACATGGCATGGCGAAAATATATACATATATTTATGAAAAATATAGATGTGTCCAGACATGCATTATCTATTTTCAAAAAAGTATCAGAATGCAACAAAATATGCACGTCATCAAAACTATAGTGGTCGGGCTTCCCTGGTGGCACAGTGGTTGAGAGTCCGCCTGCCGATGCAGGGGACACAGGTTCGTGCCCCGGTCCGGGAAGATCCCACGTGCCGCGGAGCGGCTGGGCCCGTGAGCCACGGTTGCTCAGCCTGCGCGTCCGGAGCCTGTGCTCTGCAACGGGAGAGGCCACAACAGTGAGAGGCCCACGTACTGCAAAAAAAAAAACAAAAACAAAAACAAAAACAAAAACTATAGTGGCCATGATGTCGTCTTTCTTTGGTGATTTGCAGGGAGCTTCAGAACATTGTGGCAATGCAGGGTCGTCATTCAGAATATACTGTATTGAAGAAGAGGTGGTTAATGAAAAGTTCTAATAGGATTCTGGAGTTTGTTGGATCTTCCTGATTTAAGAACCAAGAGATCAAGGACCATCTGTCTTGTTTACCACTATATATCCAGGACCTACAGGCCTACAGTAGTGCCTGGCACACAATAGGTGCTCAATAAATATTTTTGAGTGAATATGACACTCCTGGAAGAGAACGGAAGGACCTTCCAGCATGCAGGAGACATGCCTCCACTTCTATCAACTTACACTCCAGTTCTCAAGGTCAATCATAGAATAGAGAAGGTCAACCTTTGACGTCTCTACCCAACAGGATGGTAAATTCCCTGTGCCTTGGGGAATGGTGCTTTGGGGTACAAAAATGAGCGAGCTGGGTTTTTATATTTTATATGCATCTCTGGGGTTCGAGGTAGAAGTGCACCCTGACAACCTGAGACCACTGTCCTTTTCCAAATGTGCAAATCATCCTTCATAACACAAGAAAAGGCCTAGACTTCCTGTAGATTTATTCAATGCAGAGCGGTGAGAAGTGGTCCAGAGAATTCACCTGCACATCATTCCCAAGTATGGCCCCATGCATGGGACAAGATACCAGCTAACACCTAAAGCTCTTGCTATGTGCCAGGCGCCCAATTAAATATTTATATGCATCGACATACTTAGTATTCCAACAACGGATGAAGTTGATACCATTATTATCTTCATTTTACAGATGTGGGCACCGAGGCAAAGAGGTTAAGTCACTAGCTCATAATCACCAGCCAGGATTCCATCCCAGGCAACTGGCAGGACAGGTGTCCACTCCTGCAGGACAACTGGCACGAAATAAAGGGAAATCTGAGACAGGACAATGCAGGGGGCTCATTATGGTAGAGATCTGTTGAAAAATTTTGGAGGTTGGAGAAATTGGGACTTAATAATTATAAACTATTTCTGTCCCCTCTACCAAAAAATCTGAGGGTACCTAACAATTTTTGATATTGTTCAGTTGAATGGAAGCTGCTATAGTAGAAAGTTGGCTTTATCTGGGCAGTGGGGAATTCTCAAAGGACAAAAGACACAATTCAATCACATATATATATTTTTTTAATAGTTGGGTTTTTAAAAAATTATTTATTTATTTATTTAATTTGGGGCTGTGTTGTGTCTTCGTAGCTGAACGTGGGCTTTCTCTAGTTGCAGCGAGCGGGAGCTACTGCTTCTCTTTGGTGGTGGCTTCTCTTTGTTGTGGAGCACGGGCTCTAGGCGTGCGGGCTTCAGTAGTTGTGGCACACGGGCTCAGTAGCTGTGGCTCTCAGGCTCTAGAGCACAGGCTCAGTAGTTGTGGCACACGGGCTTAGTTGCTCCATGGCATGTGGGATCTTCCCGGACCAGGGCTTGAACCTGTGTCCCCTGCAATGGCAGGAGGATTCTTAACCACTGCACCACCAGGGAAGTTCTCAACTGTATTTTTATGGGCAAAAGGTCAGTTTCCATAAGGAATCACAGAAGCCTTTTCTAGAAAAAAAAAGTAAAAATTATCCTATTTGGGGACTAGACTTTTGCTCCTGGTTCCAAGTGAGTGGTGTAGAATAGTGGGTTGGGGGGGGGAAGGTCTAAAAATAGCCCATAAAATTTAGGAGGACCCCACAATTATTACCCCACAAGAGGCCTTGTCCCTGTATACCAGGAGAATCAAATCTGTAACCATCTTAGAGCACAGAACCACGAAAATCATAGAATTTTTAAGTACCTATGAGATAATATACTGCTGTTTTTTGTTTGTTTTGCCCCGTGAGATTCAAAGATAACAGAGAGTAGAGGCATGGTTTGGATACAACAACAACCAATTTCTAAGAGAAATGATGTGCTTTGTAAGCAGAATGCATCATATTGTGGAGGTGAGAGAGCTGGGGGCAAGATGAGAGACACACTTTGCATTGTCCCTTATCACCTTTTCTCAAATTATCCTGTTAGTAACAAGCAAACAAGGATGATTTTCACCTGTAAGGGTCTGAGTTTATAGCAGTGGTGCAGTGATCCTAAAACCTCCCCCGACCCCTACATCTCCACCCACCCTTGTTGGCAGAAGGGCATGTGGGAACTGGGAAGTGCTTGGGGTGCCATAGATGATTAAGTAACACTCCAAGATGACTCTAAGTGGTGAGGATCTGGGACTGGCTTCACCCCAGATCTGAGTCCAGGGTCTGGGCTGCACTGGGTTGGTGCCTAAGTACCCTTATCCCACCATAGGGTCCTTCATCTTGCTGCCTCTCCCCCTCCAGCATCCTATCTCCTCCTCACC